ATTGTTTTCCTAAATGTAGTATCGAATGAATAATATCCAATAATATTTATTATAAATGTGTGTCATCTGTTTGAATGTTGTTCCATGGTAGGCGTGTTCACGACGGTGGGGCAATTTTTGGAACCGAATCGATACTATTTGGGTTTTGGAAAATCGATAATTGGAACTGAACTGAACACAGTTGGTTAATCGTCGGTTTTTTAGTTTTTATAATATATATAAATATATAATAAAAAATTATAAATATATATAAAACATTATATTTTAAATAATAAATAATATTATATTATATATATATATTTATATATAATACATATTTATTAATTTATAATATATAAAGAATATCAAATATATATATTATAAAATATATATAATATACATAAATATATATAAAATATATAAAAATGTATGTATATCGGTCGTTTTGATTAACCGTCGGTTTTTTATATTGATTAAGTGAAACCAAATCAATACCTTAATTTTTTTAAAAATACCGAATTGAAACCAAATCGACTGATTCGATTAACCGGTTTTTCGGTTCAATTTTTCGATTTTTTTTTTTTGTTCACCCCTATATGATGAACTTGTACGTGGAGGGCGTGAAGAACATAAAAACACCGCAAATAACAAAGTTTATAACCTGACCCAGAGGTCGCCCCATTTTTCTGAGTGAGGCTTACCGGTTTGCTTGTAACATTGACCCTTAGATCATTAATTGTTAAAAGACTAATGGCCTTTTGATTAGAATAGAAGGGGATTGAAGGAGAAAGAAGAGTAACTTATTGCTGTCGGGGAAAATGGGGTCACTGTAACTTTGAAGGAGAAGCTCTGAGGCGCGTCTGAAGACACTGTCTTTAGAATGTTATTTGCCCCCACTCAGTTTTACTGAGTTTGCTGTTGGGTTACAGGCAAATTCGTTCCCAGGATACAACAGAGCCTTGGGCAAGAATCTACAACCAGCAAAGTTGAAGAGTCTCCAGAGAAACCTTCCGTGAGATTGTAGCAGACCGAACTGAGAGAGAGAGAGTGAATTTTGAAATTATATGTTTTGGAGTCTGATTCATGCTCCTTAAATAATTTGTGAAGATGTATGAGGAAAAAGTGGGTGCTGGTTTAGAGAAGGCACCTTGAACAGTCACAATGATTTAAAAAGTAGTTAACAGTTGGTGACTGTTAACTTTGAATTGTGCCTCTTGATCACACCCGATCGAATCGTGACCGTTGATCTCATCAACGGTGATCAACGGTCATCAATGCACCAAAACCAGAGCTGTCCATCGTGAACCACGCGGGTGCGAACAAAGTGCGAGCAAAGTGCACCTTAAAGCACCTCATTGATGACCAATCAAACCCATTGGATTTAATCTCTTATGAGATTAAAATCCAACAATTGCCACAACTGTTGACTTCTCTAGTAAGTCATTCTCTTTCTCATTTAAATCAAAATATTTATAAAAACAAATGTAAATAAAAATTATATTATCATTCAAAATATAAAAACATATATTACAAAAATTACTGGATTGAAATGTTTTAAAAGTTATCACTTATATATTTTCTAGGTCAACCAAGTCGATGGTATGCCCACCCAAATTGGTTTTTGACCAAGTCAACTACTAATTTAATTTTGGCGGGTTTGGGATTAATCTGAATTAGTGTAAAGAACAGGTGACAGGTCCAATGGTTCAACCAATGTTTAAAGTATTGACACGTATCAGTCACCCGGAATGATACGGGTTGATACGTATCATTCCGGCACTTCTCCGATATGCCCTTATAGTGGGTGTTTCGGGGTCTAACAGGTTTAGGGGTTAGAGGAGCTCTAAACGACCCCCTGAACCGGTTTTGAAAAAAAAATAAAAAATAAAGTAAAAAAAATATATCAATTCGTCCGATACATCTCTACCGACATATCAGACATATCGATATTTTGAACCTTGAGTTCAACAAGGTTAAGGAATCAGATAAATTTTCATTAAAATTCATGGAAGATTTTAATTAGTTAAATCGTTTCTGGTATCATGTGTTTCTGGCATCATATATAGATTTTCCCATCATTATTAACTATTGCATATCTTTATCACTAGCTGATTAGCACATCCAAATATGGACCATGGTTTTCAACGGTACTTTGGCTATAAAGCCAAGGCAGATCTCGACATTATACATTAATGCCTCGTTCTTTTGGGGAGATTATAAGTCACTTTAGACGTAAAATTTGAAAATTCCACTTTAGATGTTAAAACATCGATTAGTTAAAAAATAAATTTTATTAATTTTATCAAATTAGAGTCATTAAATTAATAATAATTAATTTAACTGTAAATAATTAAGAGTAAATTAACAATAATGATAATTAAAAGGGTATGATGGAGTAACAATAACTAATTAGAGTCATTAAATAAACAATGACAAAGAGTAAATTATTACTTAAGCACTAACTTAATTAGCTTAATTAAGAGTAAATTAACAATCACTTAATTAACTTAGTTAACTTAGTAACTCAATTCGCTAAATTAACTAACTTACTTAATTTCTTTAATTACTTTATTTACTTAATTAATACTAACTTAATTTATTTATTTACCTTAATTATCTTTGATTATTTAATTACTCTAATTTACTTGATTGGCTCAATCAATTAGTTAATTCACTCAATCGGCTTAATTTATTATTTAGATCGATTAACTTTGTTTATTTATTTAATTCCTTAATTAATTTAATTTACTTATTCAATTGCTTAATCTACATAGTTGGTTTAATTTATTTAATTATCTTAATTTGTGTAAATTATTAAATTTATTTAAGTAATTTTATGGCATCATAGATCCTTGAGTGAGTTTACTTAATTAACTTTACTAAAGTGTCAATTTCAAACTTTAGAGTCTAAAGTGGCATGTAATTTTTCAATTTTTTTTACTTAACTAAATTTGATAACATGGAACCCAAGGAAAGTTTCCATGCTTTATATAGCATATATGAAAGTGCACTTATCCTCTATTGTACCTTATAAATACTAATGGAATGAAAAACAACAGATAAAAAGAAGTCCTTTACCAAATCATCCTATTAATTAAGAATGATTTTATTGAAAGAAATTTGTTCACTTTCATTAGCAAAGTTAATAACAAGGGCTGGGAATTGGGCGTAAGCGATAGAGATTGTTTGCAATCCAATCTAATTCAAAAATGAGTTTGACTATGATATGGGAAAGATACGATATCTAAAAAACTTCTGACCAGTCAATTGGAATTATAAACGTGATAGACAACCAAGTGTTATTTATCAAAATTTATGGGTGGGTTTTGATTGGTCAAAACTCTTTCGATACCATATCTTTCCCGCATCATAGATTTTCCTCTTACAAAAACCATATGAAAAATAACAACAATAATAACAATAATAAACATTACTGATTATATTGGAACTTCATAATGTAGAGTTCTTTGAGTGTTGTTACTATCGAACCATTCAATAAATTATTTCCATTTATTATTTTATATAGGTGGGCAAATTTGGCAGATCCAACCTGAGCCTGAACCGATTCAGCTTGCAGTTTTTTACATGGGCTGGGTTTGGACTTTGGATAGTTGGTGCTTGGGCTAAGCCTGGCCCAAAACCCATCTCCAACCCAATGTTTCTCTGACCTGACAGACTATACACTTATGTACACAATATATACATACATGTATACATATACATATATTATATATACACCTACATGCTTATTCTGCATGATCATGATAACCATTAAAGACATTTGATTCCATTAGCTAAATGCATGAGTTGCTTGCTTCCTCCAATGAACTTTGTCCAGATGAGCCTAAGAGTGCTTAAAATGGAAATATTGACATGGTAATAAAATCTAAGCATATTGAATATTGCATGGCTAGTTATAGTAATATTGTTATGTCTGCTATCTTAAAATCTTTTATGATAGTAGTAGTTAAAGGTACTCTGAAATAAATTAAAGCTTTTCCTCTCAAAGATCCTAAAGACATCTCCCTTAAACAACCCCATCAACTTCTATTTGTCAAATGATATTAAAATACCATGTCATTTTTTATCATAGAGATATACTTTGCTGGTAATATGATCATCTCTCCATCTTAAAAGAATTAGAGTATTAACATACTCTATAACAAACACACAAATTCACACTATTTTTAAATAGGCTTCAAAATCAATTGCCTTAGATAACTTATAACCAGGCCCAAGGTTTTTAAAACCCACTCAGAGAACGAATCGGTCAGGGGTCTGGTTCTTGGGTTGAACAGTCGGTCCATTTTGACAAAAAAAATAAAAAATAAAAAAAGAACTGCCCAGGTCAGCGATTTACTGACCAAAATCAATGATTTTTGAAAAAAAAAATCTGATTTTAAGAAAAATCAAAACTGGTCACTTAACCGGTTCCTGGTTTTTAACAGTCCGGTCCGGTCCGGTTATGAAAACCATGACCATGCCTTTTAAGTGCTTCACCCACTAAACAAAAATTGACAGTTGCCAGCTTCCTTTATTTATATATCCACATGCATGTGATTCTGCTTTGCTACCCTCTGGTGGGCATATGTAGAAATTGAACATACATGATCATGCTAGATTCAGCCTGCTTCGATTCTTTTCTCACTTACTCTTTTGATAAACCAAACACATCCCTTCATTGGAAACGACCAGTTGTTGCATGCATGTTGAGTTTTCTGCGATAAATTAACTTTATCTTGCTGGAGCACCGCCCCAAATGGAGCTCCACTAAGTTATGTTCCATTTCCTGGCGCCACAGAAATGGAATTATTTGCTTTACCAACTTCACAAACAGCATCGGAAATGTCTAGAAACACCACCTTTTCAGGCACCCACGGCTATCCCACTACCTTGAGATGAGATTAATTTCATGTTTGGAGGGACCCACCTATAAACAATTTTTTTTTTTTTATATCTCCCACGTATACAACCAAACCAGCTATAAATAAGAGAGCCAGAGAGGCCCATCACTTACCCCACAAAACTTTAGAGTGAGCTGAAATAGTCTTTCAATTCCGACTCTCAGTCTAAGCAGGTCTTAGTCCACTAATTTCTGGGTTCCATTACGTAGAAGAAAATGGGGTGCTTAAAATCCATGGCTCTTGTTGTTCTTCTTGCTTCCTTGGCTCTTCAGGTTGAAAGCCGAGTTGCGAGGAAGGACTTGGGTTTGGGCTTAGGTGGTGGTCTGGGACTTGGGCTAGGACTTGGTTTAGGAGGAGGTGGTAGTGGATCTGGTTCTGGATCAGGTTCAGGTTCAGGTTCAAGTTCAGGTTCTTATGCAGGGTCAGGAGCTGGGTCACGTTCTGGTGCTGGCTCTTATGCAGGCTCAGGAGCTGGTTCAGGAGCAGGCAGTGGACGAGGATATGGTGCAGGATCTGGATCAGGACATGGACGAGGCTCTGGCTCAGGATCTGGTTATGGTGAAGGTCGTGGTTATGGTTCGGGATCTGGTTCCGGTTCTGGTGGGGGCTATGGTGAAGGTTATGGTGAGGGTCGTGGCTATGGCTCTGGGACAGGTAATGGGTATGGTGAAGGATATGGAGAGGGTCGTGGGTATGGGTCTCGATCCGGTGGTGGGCGTGGAAAGTGAGTGTAATGTTATCGGAATTTGATGGGTCACCCATCTTCTGAGTCTAGTTGCTTTGGTTTAGTAACAGTCTCTCTCTAATCAGGATTGTAGGAGTCACAGTCTGTGTGTGAACTGGTAGTTATTCTCTATTTTATCTCTGTTTAATGAATTTTCCTTCTACCGAAAAAAATGGGTCATCCATTTTTGTTCATGTATAAATAAATAAAACGATGATAATGAATTTCAGATCCATGGATGTATTTGTATTTATTTCATTCTACGAGTTCTGTATGTCAATGAGAGAGTTTGTTAATTTCCATTGTTGTTTGTGATATTAACATAGTGGGAATCATGGTGAAAGGCTTCTTCAATTAAGCAAAGCCTTGATCTACAAGGAAAAGAAGAGAAAATTCAAGCAAAGACCTTTGATATTCAAGCCAATCGTTAGTCATAAGCCTCTGTAACCCTTGCAATATTCAAGCAAAGGTCGAATAGAGATTGAGAAGCATCAAGTAATATTCCCTCTAAAAATGAAATAACATAACTGAAATCTGTGAAAAAACGTACAAACAAGACCTTTGATATCTCATTCCTTCTTCACATAGAATGCTTTTGGCATTCATCACCATCTAGTGAAGTATGCTTGATCTTCATGTACCAGACTATCCTTTGAATTCGACTATTAGCAAGGTAACAACTGACTGGTCGGTTAGGTTCTGGCTGATTGTAGTGAAGACTTGGGGTCGAATTTCACTTGCATCAGGTTTGGACGGGATCATTGGGTTTAGGGGATGGACTACCCCGCTTGTGTATCCCCGTTGAACAAAAAAAAAAGGGTAATTAACTCCCCATTGTTTCAAAGGCCCCCTACTATGGGGTAAGTAACAATTACCTCCCCCCATGAACTTTTATTTGTGACAAAGATTCCTTGATTTTTCGCTTTGCAACAAATACCCCCTTCATTAGAGTTTTATCAGTTAACTTCAAAAAACGATTCTTACTTAGCTGTTAATTAAAGTTTTTCTAAATCCCCAAACTACAATTTTCTTATTTATTTGAACGATTTATGATTCAATTAGTTTTTTAAATATAATATTGGAGTCCTCTCGGTTGCTCTAATAGATCCTTGCAGATTTTTGGCTGGATTCAATCTTCAAATAAAATGGTAAAGGTTTCTTTCTAATATATTGAAATTTTAAGGTTTCATTTGGTTTTTCTTGATTTTTCATGGTTTAAAACCTTCTATGCTTTAAGATGAAGAGAACATTCATTTGAAGTTCAAGTAGATTGTTTTTGCTAGATTTTTGAATTATGATGAGCTCTAGATTGAAATTAGTGTTGCAATTTCAGGAAATGACTCAAGTTTCTAAGGGTTTTAGTGGATGAACGTATTTAAAGTGCATTTTCTCCCTATATTCTGATATTCTTCTAGTAATTTTTTCCATTGATGTAAAAGAATACTTTTCTTTTGAAAAATAAAGATTACATCACTTTTTCTATACCAGTGAAATGGTTATTGTTACTTTAGCTGGTTTCGTTTGGAGATAGTGGAGGTATTTTAGGTAAATTAGGATTTGATAGAAAATGGGCAAGAAAAAGAAAATAGGGAGAGTCCAGGTGGGTATTTTGATAATTTAATGCATTCCATCATCTAATTTAATGGTTAGGGGGCATTGTCACAAAGTAAAGGTTCAAGAGGATATCTATCGCAAATGAAAGTTTAAGGGATAACATTAAATATGGATATGGAACTAATGTTTTCAACAAAGAAGTGACCAACCTAATTCTGATTTTAACTGTGAACCAAATGAACCTTTAGATCTGAATCTTGAACGACTTGATTAGTAAATCGTGACTAGGTAAATATTTAGTTGATTCATTGGTTTGACCATCTAAGTTAATGATATTTAATAAAATTAACTTAATAGGTTTGGGATATACAACATGGACACATCATCTATCCCTCCAATAGAAATCAGCCACGTCTTTATTTACATTTGAATTCAATTTTAATGGAGTCAAGATGTAACGTCAGTGTGGACTCCAAAAAAAATTAAATTCTCTTAACTTGTGTGAATTCTTTCCCCTTTAATCTACCCCAAATCTCTTCGCTTTCATTCCTCGGAGCTAGTTTCTGTGTCTCTCTCTCCCTCTCATTTCTTCTTCTCCCCTCACTAATACTGCAACTAACTACCGAGTGTGCTCAACATTTCAACTAAACCTCCTACAATGAATCATGCATTTGCATTTGGCCTTGAAGAGTTTCATCCTTTTTGTTAGAGAATAAAACCTATTTAAGGACCTCACTTAACAGTTTAAGCTTTTAGGTTGAATAATTCTTTGAGATGGTATCAGAGCCACTTTGACCAAGTGGTCTCGATTATCGTCACTCCCATTATTATAAATTAAGTTTTAGCACAAGGTATGGGTGGGCCTGTGCTGTCCACGTTTCAAGACCAATGGGCCCTCGTGTGAGGGAGCATATTAGAGAATAAAACCTATTCAAGAATCTCACTTAACAGCTTAAGCTTTTAGGTTGAATGGTTCTCTGAAACTCTTCTATCTCCAATTCTTTATCATGCATGTTGGAGCTCCAGCGACTTCCTTCTTGACTTCCACCCACCACCTCATTTACCTTCCTCTTTCAAAAGAATTGTAGACATTGCAGACCTTCCAATTTGGTACTTCTTGTTTGGTGCATTTGGCAGACTGGTCATGATGATGAACAAAATCCACCCACAATCAAGGTGCATTGGTGGTTACAGTAGGATCACCATTAAAATCTTGTTCTTGGGACATCATTTATCACTGCCTTACCTCTGATTGATTCTTCGGGTTGGTAACTTGGGATGAGATCTGTCTATGTTTAAAGAAATGCCAAGTCAATGGTCCAAAAATTGTGTTCGATCGCAGGGTGACCATGACCCAATGATACACTGATGCTAAACAAGTTAAGCATTAGAGGGAGCTGTATATAGGTTCCCGGTATACAGAAAATTTTCTGGACTCCGTTAACATTCAAATCTAACTGAAACATTGGTCAAGATGAGTTGCGATGGTTTGATTATTTTGTTCTTCTTAGCATTTTAGTACATCAAAGGAGTTGTATACAGGTTCCCAGTATATAGATGATATTCTGGACTCTCTTAATATTCAAATCTAACTGATACACTGGTCAGCGTAAAACTCAAATGGTTGTTAACGCCAATTGCAAATTAACTCCAAACACCTTTTCATTTTCATTTGGTTGCCCAACCCCTCCCCCTCGTTCATTCTATTCTAGCTTTTCATTTCTCTCCCTTACGGTCTGCCCTCATCCCCTTTCTTGTCCAATAACCGCCCATTCTTTGCAAAGGCGTCTCTGACGGCGGTGGAGATTCAAGCTGTGTATTGGTTTTGTGAAAAGGCGGTGGAGTGGGAAGAGAAGAAGAGAAGAGAAGAGAAGAAGAGAAGAGAGTGATGTGTTCAGTCCTCATTGGATGCGATCCGTCAATTCTACACTCCGTTAGTTTTGAATGAATTTAGAAGAGGGTGATGTGTTCAGTCCTCATTGGATGCGATCTGGACTAATCATTGTCTATAGGTGATGGTTTAACTGGTATGATCATCCAAATCAACCATGGGTTGCAAAACATTTTCATTTTTAAATGAATAGGACTAGATCCTCTATCCATTACATATGGATCTAATCAGACTTGTACTATTTATTTATGAACACATATTGGAACGGGTTGGACCATATCCCAGTGTTGATCTTATGTGTTTTTATAATAATTCATGGAGAGTACTAATAGTGTGATTAAGTAAGCAATTATCTTAAATAAGCTTCTTTGAGCCTTAGTTGTATTGAAGCAAGTTTGCTACTAAAGATGAAGTAGTCGAATAAGTTCTATTTAATCAGTTGCTAGAGCTTCATGTTCTCATCACGTCACCAAAATTTCTCTACATGAAGTTACTCTAAGGCCATGTTTGGTTTAAAGGAAAAAGTAGGGAAAGGTAGGGAAACCTTTACAAACCTTGTATGAGTTTTCTACTTTTTCCTTCAAACCAAACACAACCTAAGAAAATTCAAGCAATGACAAGACTACTACAAGAATTCAAAAGATTTTGAGCTGTTCAAATGGTCATTTGCTACTGCTCAATGAGGAAGATCACATCAAGTTGTGTTCAAAAGATCACATAAGATGTGCTCTCTATGATGCTCAACAATATTGAAAACAACTTAAGCAACCTTAGAAATAATGACTAGAATAAGTTTGGCTCTTGGGCTTTTCTAGACAAACAAGAGATTACAATCTTGAATGAGTTCCAGCCCTCTAAATGAATACTTCCAAGGTTTCTAAGTGTTGAGTTGTCTATAAAGCAAGATTGCTCGAGCTCTATAGTATAATTGACTAATTGTGATATTTGAGGCATGATATGCCTAAGAGATAATTGACTACCCAAACATGTATAGTTAATTATCTATAACAGCCAAGGCATATTTTGCCAAGACTATGAGACATAATCAACTACTTCAAAAGGCATAATCGACTAATTGTAACAACTGAGGCATAAAAATGCCTTGTTTGAGAGAAGCAGTAATCTACTCGAAAATGTATAGTTTACTAACTCAAACAGGTTGAGTTCAAGTTGCTATTAGCCGAATGATAGGAGAAACTAGTTGACTAGAAGAGAAAATGATTCCTCCCTTCATCAAGTAAATGACTACCAAAAATTTGACAGTCAACTACTTCAAAGAAATTTGGTCATTTGAAGGCTTAAACAACTATTACTATTAGTAAATCTTCTATCATGTTGAAGTAAATTTAATCATTTCTAAGAATGAAAAAATCACTCCAACAGCCAAAAAATAGTCAGTTGCTCTTAAATCGTCTATAAATAAAGGTGTTTAATTGATTCAAACTAAACAAGAGAAAAACATGTACTATCATTATAAATAGTATATAATTGTTTTTAGAGAAAGGAAATTAGCAAGAGTCATTTGTTGAAGAAAGTTTTAATAGTTTTTAAGATAAGAAAAGTTTAGAAGCCTTTGAGCTTGTACACATTTATCAATGATTGAAGCAGAACCTCTAGAGAACAACCGAGTGGTTTTGCATTAGAAAAAGTGTGTTTTATTTTCATTAATGTCAAGAGTGCAAATGCTAGAAAAAGCAGAATCTCCTACCACTGGTATTGGTTTGTGCGTAGAGATATGGGAAGAGTTTGGGGGTAAGAGACCGGGAGTGAGAAAAAAAAAAAGATTATTCTTCTTCTTGTCGTTGTTATGGAG